CGGATACAAATATTCATGAAAATTTACAGTGGATATGATTGAATGCTTAATTTTTTAAAAACCTATTTGTTATTATTTATAATATTTAATTTTAACCAAGGACTGAGACCTAAATGGTTTTAACGGTTTAGGTAAGGGTTCGGGTTTTTAAAATATTTTTTAATGGTTTAGGTTAAATTTCGGGATTTTAAGAGTTTTAAAATTTAGGTTTCGGTTCCAACCGGTTTCTAACCTTTATTTTTGTACATTATTTTTTCAAACTAGAAATTTTAATACGAGAATATATATTGCATATTATTATTTAGTATTTGCCGGCGCTGATTAAAGTGCTCATATTAATGTTAACTTTAACCCCGGATATAGAAAAAAAAAGAGTTTCTCATGTGCTTTGACAGATGTGTTAATCTGCGTAGATTTTTTTATTTCTGTATCTTTAACCAGCATCTCCTCATATATATCCTGGTGGGAACTCAGATGCCTTTTCAAATTTGTTCCAAGCTTTCCCTTTTAAAATTATAGGTACATATTTATAAATATTTATATAAAATCTGATTACCTAGCTATATCAATTAGATTTTCAAAATATAAATATTTAAGGAATACAATATACAAACTGAATTAACTAAAATAAATATTATTTAAACTTTTCATAAGTAATCCGCTACAAAGCTACACGTACAGGTGAAGAGCAATTACTGGTAAAATTATAGATACTATTTTTTATTTTGTAGATAATCACATAATATTCACATTGGGTATTTTTTAGGGATGGGCCGATACCACCTTTTACCGATACCCGATATTATAATCACAAGTAAAAACTAAGTTGATCTTTAATATATTACAAAAAAAAATCAACTTTTTTGGCAAAACCATGAACGGATACTAAAATTAATCCGATACCACAAACTAATAAAACCGATACCCGATATTATAATCACAAGTAAAAACGATTTTTAATATATTACATAGCAAAAAATCAATTTTTTTGGCAAAACTATGAACCGATAAAACCGATACCCGATATTATAATCACAATTAGTTTTTGCGGTATATATCGGATCAAAAATCGGTTTTGAACATAAACCGATACCGATATTTCCGATACCACCAATATCGGCCGATATCAGGTATTTTTAACATAATAGCGAGTAGGACCTGAATAAATTACTCAAGACTGCACTATTATAGTTGATGGTATAAATATAAACTATAAACTATAAAGATAATGTCGTCTTGTCTATTTACTTGAATATTACATAGTTACCTACCATTTTGTTACCATATTATTTTAATTCTTTTGTCAATGATTTTAAACTTAAACTAAAATTAAATGAAACAAAAATGTGTAGCTACTTACTTTTATTTTTCCATTGCAACTTTTACAAACTGACTCGTTTGATTTCTTATTGTAAACAAAATATTTATAAACGCATGACACGGTATGACAGCCCATAATTTTAATTTGATACTTTTAAACTAATAAAGGTAGACTACGTGTTCATGCATCGGTGACTGAATAGCAAATATAGCAAATTCACCGTTGAGCACCGATATTCGATAATAACTAATAACGATAATACGATATGCGTTTGTACTGTGTTTGACGTATAGATATGTAATAAAAATAAACATTTCAAAAACCCAGTGTCATTTTTGTGATTGTAAAAATAAGTTATGTGTCCGCAGAAATGATCCGTTATCGACATTATCGTGTAACTTAAAGTAAGTATGTTCAGGTAAGTCGGAGCTCGTGATTCACTACACACGATTCGTATCGTTGATCAGTTAAGTATGGCGACTTCATGATGTCCGACGATTTGTGCATCGTTTTTTTTATTTTTGTCACTATATTCTGATGCCTAAACATGGGTTTTCTCGGTATAGTTCAATAAATTTGCTCAGAATCTTTTGTGGCCAATTTCGTGAGTCCATACTATTATTATAATTTAAAATACTGAAGATAATCATTTACAATAGTTTTATAATTATTTATAATTATTATATCTGAACTTACTCTTCTGACATAATATCTTAATTATCTTATTAATAATAGTTGATATACGATGAATAATATTTGAAAGTTTCAATATATTATTCATTTTTATATGCACGTGGTCGTTCACGCCAATTCAAAAAATCAAGAACAACCAGTTCAGTTCATGCCGCGCCCAGGACTGAACGAGCCTTCAGTTTTTGCATACATACGTTAGGACTTGTCTGAACGGCCAGGCCTGTTTAGTCAAGTTTTAAACAAAAACTGAACGTGTGTACCCAGCTTAACATATACATAATATATATTAATATTCCTTAGACAATAATATTATATTCATTAGTTGACGGCCGAATATAACATTGCGTAAATACTGTATAATATAAATTATTATATGTAGTTATTGTTTCTAAATAATATATTTTTAGTTTAAAGAGTAATTTTTTTCGATTTTAATAGGAAATTGAAAACAGTAAAAAACCCTTAAAAAAACCAATATTCTTTTGGTATTGTTTATAGGTTTCGGTATTGGTTATAGTTTATTGTAAATATAAAATACAGGTAACGGTTATTTTCAGTTCTTTAATTTACACTAGGTTTTAGGTTCCGTAACCGGTTCTTTTCGGTTCGGTCTCAATCCCTGATTTTAACTCTATTATAATTAATATGGTTATTATTGTGTTTAAGTTTTTATTTTTTAATAAATTTCCTTTTTGTTACCGACAAATAATAATTTCCAAAAGAGTTTTCTTAGAATCCAATATTGTCAAAAAAATAAATTTAAACAATTAGATATTTATAATTCTTAGTTGTGCTTTATTTTCTACATGTTTATTGGAGAAGCATCTTATGCAAATGAATTTTTACTGATCTATACGTTATTAACAACAAATAAAATTATTATTATGTTTATTTTTTATTATGAAAAATATCATAACATATTTTTTTATTTTTCTTATTTAAGAAATAAATAAATTAGAGCGTTTCTATTTTTGTGTACTTTTATACGTCTGCACTTTCAACAATTACAATTCACGTTTTTATTGAATTCGAAGAATCAATTGGTTTTATCAATGATAAATTAATATACTTTTTACAATCAAATAAACATTATTAATTGGTTATAAGTATGTGCAAATAATATATTTATTTATTGAGGTGCTCCGTACTCGTGAGTATGTATATTTTACGTATAGGTTGATTCGGATTCAACCCAATTGAAATTATAGCATCGTTAAAGATGATTTTATGTATAAACAATAAGTTAACAAATAAAGACGGAAGCTTGATTATTTACAACAAATCATTTTATTGCGTGCTACGGAAATAGCCAGTAGAGTTTGAGAATATATGAACTAAATGACCTACATTAAAAAAATGCTATATGAACAAAAAAAAAAAAAATGTTTATTGCATTTTAAGTATTACCAATTAGAATAAATAATGTCGAATTACTCGAATTAATTAAATAGTTTTGATACTGTACACTATATTTACTGATGTATTTGTATGTACTAATGTTTTAACTATAGAAAATAATTCGAGTATTCTTATTGATAGTTATATTTATCATTTTATTTTAAGTTCATTAACTATGGTTATAAAAATAAAATGAATAATAACCAGGTTAAAAATATATGTAATTCAAGTATATTAAATGGAATGTTCAAATAATTCAAATAGTGAGCGACGCGAGGACTATGCATGAAGTTCAAGCGGTGAATTAGAATTTAGATATTTAAGATGATTATTTGAAGTCAATGTATTTATTAAGATAACTCGATGCTATTCTTTCAGAATTGTGTCATCGCTCCTCAATGAAGAATATGCTCGGGTATGCAATCAGATAATCATAATAAACCGAATAAAATATAAAACAATAAATATTATATAAAATATTATACCAATATAAACAACAATAAGAGCTTAAATTCGAGTAAAAATAATTTAAATCATCATTAGAAACATTATTAACGAATGTAGTTCAATCAAATATTTTGTATTTATTTGATTCATTTATATCGGGCTTAACCACGGGAAAGACGAGAATCAGCCGGGGGGTAACACAGAACGTCTGTCTTCGTCTCGTCGCCAACTCATCCGTCTTCTCATTCCGCCCATCCGTCTACCCCTTACTTCTTTTATAATGTTATCATGTATATTACACGCGTTGAAAAGATATTCATTATTCAAAACAGAACGCCGACGTACAAACAGAACTTTTCGCTCGGACGAGGTGGGTTACACCGCAGTGTTCCGCCGTTCACGACGTTCAAGTCATCATCGTCACGGGCGTTTGTCCCGTCCAACTGCTGCAGCGTGAATCAGTTACATTATCTTGGAGGCGGCGGCCGTACCCTCGAACATATACAGATAGACGTTAACGAAAGATTTGCAAAAAGAGAGGATGGGAAGGGAAGCGAAAAAAAAAACCGTTTACACGAAGGGTTAAGAACACCGTTGTCGAGTTTTAATCACTTTATTTTTCTTCTTCTCCTTTGTACAACAAATATTTGTGTATTTTCATGTATATTTTTCGACGGCTTATACGAAGCTTCGCGAATTATATACATGTACGTGCACTGTCTGTCGGCAAAAAAACGACGCTCTCGATAACTGTCAACCGCGCGGCTACAGGAATTTCATTGTACACACGTACACGTCGAGTTCAATTTGTCGCGTTGCCGTCGTACCATCTCGCACAGCCCGTCGTCGCGGGGTTGCGCCGCGGGTACGAAACTGAACGCAAACGGGGACGGCACGGAGGGATGGTGGGTGGGTAGGCGTCGCGAAGGAGCAGGAAACAGCGGTCGATGTACGCGTGTGTACACGGCACACGCACGCACACGTGTACAAAGCTCGGGGAGAGTGCGCGCGCGCGTTTTTGGCACGCGGTGAGGGGGTGCGCGCCCATCTGTCTGCAGAATCAATATATAAAAGGAAGTTTTCGGTGGCGGTGACGAGGGTGGGCGCACGCGCTCGAATCGACCGTACTACGCCGTCGCGCCGCCGGGTTTCCCGTACAAAATAATACTTTTTACTACAATACGCGCGCGCCGCACGCAGACGTGACCATCGCACACAGTGGTGGCCGCACGAACATCCGCCGCCGCCGCCGCCGCTGCCGCCGCTGAGTGTAACCGCGACCATTGCCGCCGCCGACGCTGTTCCTACCTAAAAACACCCGCGAACCGATGTAACGCGTGCACACACGAGTGCGTGTCGTCGTCGTCGTCGTCGTCGTCGCGCAGCCGTTACGGTAACAATCGAACGGTTACGATACGCAAGTTTTCAACGCTAGCCGTCCCGGTTTTCCCTGCCGCGCGCGTCCGTTTCCCGCTAACCGCCCGCAGTGCACATGTGTCTTGTCGTCGACGCCGTCCCAATAGTGCGGTCGAGTAACGCGCGTGCCGCATAACTCGCGCTATGGTTTTCGCCGACCGTCCGGCCGCCGCCACGGCCGCCACGTACGTTTGCCTCGTGCTGCTGGTCGTCTCGCCGCTGTCCGGCGTCCGGGCCCAGACCGAGGACATACCGCACAACGAGTGAGTAGTTGCGAACGTGCACAGTGGGGGTATCGGTTAGGTTAGGCGTACAACTTGGCAGTGCTAAAATTAGGTGACGAACCACCTGCGATTATTCGGCAAAAAAATGTTTTTAGTTTATGAATCAAACAATTTTCCGTATTACAAATAAATATTATCAATAAACATCGCTATTTTTTTTTTTATCAATAAGCGACCAAAACTGTAAACGGTAAACAAAACCAAAATGGCATTCCAGCAATAAACTTGACCATCCTCACAGTATCACGTGCACATGTAACATTAACACAAATACCCAATATTCTTACTAAACACATTATTGGATTGCACCAATACAAACTGGAGTATACTCATTCTTATAAATGCGAAATAATACTCATTAAACAATGTTTTTACCTCAAAATAAACTGGGAGTACTAATTTAGAACTTGGGAGTGTTAAGCACCCCTTGGCACTCCCGTATGTGCACCAATGGTCTTGTTAATCTCAACGGTTTTGAGAAATTATCCCACCAAATATCGTATTAATAATAATAATATTTCCCGATAATAAAGTTTGTCGATGACGTTCGTGCGTAGCACGTGCACTTCATTTAGTTACCGATACGTGAACGTCGATTGCGGTAGTCGGTAGTTATGTCGTACTACATAGTGTTAATTTGGTACTGCATATTTGAAATCAATTTCTCTTAATGGCATGTGACGTTAGTTTACAGGATAAGTTAGATGTGATAAAGTTAGTTGATAAAGGGACCAGCTACAGTATCATCTCAAGAAAATTTGAGATACGTATATCCACCATCAGTGATACAAAATAGAACAAGGAAAAAATAGAGAAATTTATCATTCAAACGGTAAATGGTCTAGGTAAGAGTAAAACCATAAAACAACCAGAAAATCCAAATTTTGAGAGTTCGGTTTTCATATGGTTTATTCAACAGAGAGGTTTACACGTTCCAACGAGTAGTGAAATGCTTTGCGAAAAAGTCCGCCAGTTTTTAAAAAATCACCATGCTTTTAATGCAGACAAAGATTGGTTATACAACTTCAAAAAGCATTATGACATAAGGTCTCAACATTTTTGGTAAAACATTTTTTAGTATAGAAAACTCCATTAAACCGTTCTAGGAAGAGTTTAAACAACTTATCAAATAAAAAAAAAAAATTAAAGCAGAACAAAGTTCAATGCTGACGAATCTGGATTTTCTGGTGAATGTTGCCTGACCACACTTTTGTGCCATCTACAGAAAAAAATTATGAAAGAAAGGGTTATCTTTATGTTTTGCACTAATGCAACTGGCAATCATAAGTTTCCTTGGCTTGTTGTGGGAAAGGCTCACAACTTTCGTGTGTATGAATCGGTTGCACTTCCTGTGCGCTATCAAGATAAAAAAAATGTGTGGGTCACAAGAGATTTATTTTTAGATTGGTTTAACAGTGAATTCGTTCCTACCGTTCGTCGTCACCTTTTCCAATGAATTTTCCTATGGAAGCTGTACTGCTATTAAATAACTGTGACTCATCTGCAGAAGAACTTCGCAGTGAAGATGGCAAAATACGAAATACAATAAATTCAAATAAAAATATACTAAACCAAAAAAACTAATTGAGCAGGAGAAAAGTGTTAGGTATTCTTCGAGCCAAATAAAAAATTCAAATTATAAAATAAACCAATGTAATAAAATAACAGAACATAATCTTAACATTGCTTTATTACTAAAAATAGTTCAAAACAATTATAAAAAAGATGATGTAATTTCTAAAAACGATTTTGTAAATAATTGGAATTTTACCTAGATACATTTTTTAAAGAATCTGTCCCAACAGAGAGTAAACAAAATTATAAATCATACATAGACATATTATGAATGAAATCGATAACAATAACAAATCTTTCAATATTATAACGCTCGATGGAAAAATTAATAGCTATACAGATAAGACAAAAAATTCATTACGACACGCAATCTATTTACGACTACGAGTCCAAATTTACGAATCAAAGTACCTATTTGGAAAATAAACAAAATTCATCATTCTTTTGTTATTGATACAGATGCTACCGTATCAATAATTAATATAAACAAACTACCAATGCTGGTTAAACTTAAACAAATAGATTTCATAAACTTAATTACATCAAACGGTTCTAATTTAGAATTACTTGGTACAGTTGATGTCACTCTTAATCTTAATAATTTTGATTTCCCAATAAAATACATGGTTGTCGAGAATTTAGTAGGACCTAGCTTATTAGTTATAGCCTTTTGAAATAAGTACCAAGCAAATATTGATTTTGTCAATAAACAAATAATTTTATTAGGCAGTGAAAGCTCAGTGACTTTAAAATGAAGCAGAAAATTTAAATAAATCTCAAAAATTAATAAAAACAAACACACAATATAGAATGGTGCTAGATTATAGAAAGTTGAGTAGCATAACTATTAATGAATCTTTTCTCCTTCCAGTAATTCAAAATATTTATGATTGTCTAGCGGGAAACGAATTTTTTTCATGTTTAGACCAGTGCATTTTATAACATATAAAAAACTAATAAGGAAATATATAAATAAATAAGAATAAACTAATAAGGAATTTCCACTGAGCGACAAAAAATGTTTTTCTCAAAATAGTCAATGTATAATACCATAGTACGATTATAGTATTACACGTTAGTTTCGCATTATTTCGCCCAATCTTTTAAAATACTGTCGACAGAGTATAATCACTGGGTGACATTTGTGTGGCCTAGTTAACTAGTTAAAAAATGCACTGATTTAGACGTCATGTCGGGATTTCAATTTTGGGATATATTAGATACATATTGGTAGAATAATTCAATTTTGTAAAAATTTAAACAATGGCTAAGAGTAGTAATGTTCAAGTCTCAGCAAATACTCAACGAATATTTTGTGTTCGTATGCTGGTGTTGTGTTTATTTAAATGTGTGATGAACTTTTAACGATAACAGATAGCATTTAAGATAAATTTGATGAAATTGTTCATTTATAACTATTTAAATTAATATCTATTTTTATATATAAAATAATGCGTCAAATTTATATAATTGTGTCGTTAAATGCGTAGAATTAATATTCGTCGAAATGTCGTGTAGGTCCAATTGCTTTGCGTCGAATTTACCGCATCCATTTGACTGAAACGCGTTGAAATGACATACATTCACTTAATTGGGCCCTCAGAACTGTTTGTTCTCACGAAATAACCCCCGTTCTACCCAATCCAACACTAGGCTCTTACGATTGGGACATCTAAACATTCAGCATCCCAAAAAGTATCTAATACTAGGCGTGATGATATTTCATCGTTCATACTCGTAATTGCAATTTGATCGTATATACCACTAGATGCATTCAGCAGCTTATTTTCACATACTTTTCTGTAGATTTGCATAGTTTTTTCCTCTCGACGGATGTTTTTCCTGTTGGCAAGTAAGGTTTTACACTTGTTTTCGTAGTTTGATACACATACAATGAATTCAAAACTTTCTGCACATAATGTACGAGTATGGTATGTCCGCACGTTTATATTTTTTTCACGTATATTTTCATGAACGGTTTAAGCGTTGATCATTACATTTACGGATTCAGTTTGGGTTAATCCTTAGAGAGTACGATTAAATTTATAATATTCTAATCTTTTGAAATATCGATACCACTGAATTAAAGTACATAATTTATAGTATTATGTACTATAGGATAGCTCACCGTGATATCCCGATAGAAATATCTCCGTAGATATTAACTTTTTTTAAAATTATTAGGTTTAAATGGTTATATTATAGCGGGAGCCACATAAAATATTTACAGTCAAATTTGTGTTTTCATATCTTAAACGATTAAGAAAAATAACTTTTGAATTTTGAATTTCCGTAAAATGACTATACATACAAGTTTTGATATAAAAAATTCAATTATACCGTAATCGAAAATCAAATTATTGGCAAATGTAAGTTAGTAGAAGGGGCTAAGTGTTAATACCAGAATTATTACTGACTCGTTAATAAATTAGTATAAACTAGATAGGTACCTAATATATTATATTTTAATGTTATAAAATAAACTATCTTATATTGAGGCATTTATATGATTGCACTCTCTATCTACATGTTATTAATCTACATATTTATATACGGAAACAATTAAAAGATTTCTACTATCATAATAATCAACGTTTCTGTCGTATCTACTTTATAATAATTTATTATAATTGTTAAATATGTTTATCCTCACTCATAAATATACATTTAGGTACTTCATTTATGAAACCAAAATTCGATTTTCGATTGCGATACATTGATATTTTCACAATAACTTATACCACATATTTAAACCAACTTTATAGAAATGAAAAAATCAAAAGTTATTTTTCCCAGTCGATTGAGAGTAAAAGTTGTAAAATTGTCTAAAAAGTTTTCTCCTTCCGCATATTAACGTATATGTCTATAGTTTTTTGTAATTTTCTTAAAAACCTAAAATTTCCTAAAATAACCTTAGTCAAATCTAAAGTATCATCTGCATCAAATTCTCGTTCTATATTGAACAAATATTTGTAAAAAAAACTTCAATTATATTGCTTTATTCGATAAAGTATTAACTTGAAAAACAAATTTGAAATACAAATAATTAAATAACACGAATAAAACAAAGATTCACTATGCTTCAAAAAATACATATTAATTATCATTCGTTATACAATTATAATATTTTTTTCATATTTTTGACCAAATTAGCTAGTTAACAATAGTTTAGTTATATCTAGTCAAACATATTCTGCAATCTTTTGAATATTTTATTTAAGTATTTTATGAGTAAAAAGTAAATATATTTCATGATGACTACATCATGAACTAAATTGTTAAGACTATTGATATAAATCTCTGTACGAGTATAGTCCTTTGTATATTGAGTTGCAATTAAACTTTAAATAAAAGTTATAAAATTAAAAATATTATTCAATCATGTAGGAAAAACATGTATCAAT